ATAGTATTTCCTGTCCTGCTGTGTGGAAATCGTGGACTTTCTATTTGGATACAGATAAAATGGATGGATAAAATCAATACTTTAAAGCTGAAAATTAGGTTTACAGAAGTCACATCCAAGCCCATCCCTGAGGTCTGAAGGTGGTGACCTTGCCCTGGCTGTTCTCACTCCACGTCCCGAGACAGCTGGGGGCTCTGGGAACAGAGCAGGGTTATTCCAGCCCAGCACTGCTGCAGTTCCAGACTCCAGGTTTGACCCACCCCTGTGATAAGGCAGAGCAGGAAGGATCTGTGCCACTCTAGGCAGCAAATGGTCTCTATCTGCAGGAGCACCTTCTTTACAGCTTCCTAAATTAAGTTCCATGTTATTGGACAGGAGATGCCATGTGAATTTTTACATTTATCTAAAGCCACCTTGTGAAAAATCTGCCTCCTTTTAGTCTGATATTAATGTACAGGCATCACTCCATCCCGACTGGAGAAAGGGGGAGGGTGGGAATTTATCTTACATAAATCCCAGTGTGTCCTGTCTAATATTTATAGCCAGCACAGAATGGCTTTTCTTCCTGAGCTGCAGAAATAAACCTGTCAGCTCCGAAGATGGCCTTGTGTTTTATCACTTTCCTGCTTGATTTCAAATAGAGACAAAAGGCATAATAAAATATTTTCCATTGATCCCTGGGATGCAATCAAGGACCATAAGAAGCCAAGGATGCTGCTGCCACCAGCCCTCGTTCCCAGCACCAAGGAGAGGTACAGCCACAATCCCACTGGCCTTGCAGGCATCTCCTGGGCAAGTCTGACCTTCCTGGTGCTGTTCTGGGTCAGGAAAATTGGCTCCTTGTACCCCAGGGAGGATCAGGGCTTTTCTGGCAACCGTGTTTAGGGAGATTTGGGTCACAGCAGGAACTTGGGGCCAGGCTGAGCGTCCCTGTGCTTGTCAGGAGGGATGATGGTGCTTTGGGATGCTCCAGCGCATCCCTTGATCCCTGCTGCTGGCAAAGGGAGCATCTGCTGCAGGGGCTCCTGATATAGGGCCCTGCCTTTCATCCAACTCCTATGGAAAAAGCCAAGTTTCTGCCTAATGTACTGAAAACAGTGGCTGAATAGTCTGGGGAATCTCAGAGAAAGTCTTCACAGGACCCTGGGACTCCCAGAGCAAATCCTGACTGGATTACCAGAGGAGATATTTAACCTTAGCACTTCCACCTGCCCACTGTCAGCCCCTTGAATCCTTAAATCCCACCTAATTAGGAAATTACTTATGCAAACATTGGAACTCACCTCCTACAGACTGAACTAAGGCTACAAAACCCCACACGCAGGGAACCAGCCTTTTACACACCCAGGTCTATAAATGGCATTTCAATATTAATTAACTCAAGGCAGCTAGGGGAAAATTAATTTATGCAATTAAAAATTATTAGATTAAAAGCCTTTTTTTAACCCCCCCATCCTGTTGTAGGTAATCCTGGGCTCTGCCATGTGATTTCAGTACTTTCAAAACGAGACTTTTCAAATCACTAGGCTTTATGTAAAGTAAAGGAGTAATTAGATACCAAAAACAATAATTATCTCAACGAGAGACAGGGAGAGCAGAGAAGTGTAAATACACTGCCAGGGTAACTGCAGACCCGGGGAAGGAATTGTTATGCACCAGCCAAAGCAGGGAGCAGCCAAGCACAGCCCCACGTCAGAAGCACCAAAGACAACCCAGCCCCTGATCTGTCTCGTTCCTGACTCTCTGATAAAGGTTAATCAAGCACAAAGCAACACATGAGCTCTTGGGAATTCACTTCCAGCTCCGGGCACGGAACAGCCCAGCCAGGCAGGGGCTGCAGCCTCCATTTCCCTGTTGGGGTACAATGATTGAGGGGTTTGGGAGGGGTTTGATGCCCTCCCCAGAAGCAGGGCTGGCAGGCACAGCGAGCCCTCCCCAGCAGCCCTCTGTGCCCTCCCAGTACCCCCCTCAAAACTGCAGTGATGCTACAACATCAGGGAAATGTGGCTGCTGCAGAAGAGACAACAAGCAAAGGTACCTGTGTGGAGACGGGGTGTGGATGAGGAACTGAGCCACCAGCTCAAATCAAACATCAATTAATGACTCCTCTGATAAGCAAAATGATGCTAAAGACAATTGGAATGGGGCTCTGCTCCTCTTGGCTGGTGTTCCTGGGGCTGAGCATGGGCTGGATCAGGGGATGGCTGGGGACAGACACCCAGCCCTCATTTGTGTGTTATGCCTTATTTTGAGGCTCTGGATACAAACAATCCCTGCAGCCTGACCTTTATAGACATTAATTTATTTAAAAAAAAAAGAAAAGAAAATAGACTTAAGCCAAGGGGAAGAGCCAGGTCAGCACCAACTCCTCTGCAGCAGTGCTCAGCCCTGGTGTGACCCCTGAAGGTCACAAACACGCAGCAACATCTCCCTTGTCACCCCCCAAACACTCTGTTAGTGCCCAAACCCCACTCCCCCTCCTGCTGCTCCGCTCTGCACCCACTGTTGGCATGGAAGAAACAGCTTTTTGCAGCACAGAGGCACTGCTGGAGAAATATCAGCTATCAGCAAGTACCTGAGTTGTCTTAATCCTCCCTAAATCCCAAATCAGCTGCTGTTAATCTCCCTGTCCTATCAAACGGGGAATTTTCCCGGCGCCAGCCGCTGGGTGAAGCGACAGCCGGCAGCTTAACCAGCCCCCTCCCCAGGGCCGGTGTCAAAGGGATTTTTAAAGAAAGAAGACATTTAAAGCAGGACAAAATTTGCACATTTTAAAGCAGAAGAGCAGTGAGGAAGTGCTTTTGATGGAATTCAGTTGTTTTTCACTGTAAAACACCAAACATCAACGTTCTGCCCCAGTCCAGGGCAGGTGACACTGGGGACCTGCTGGGGAGGAGAGGGACAAGGAACAGGGGACACAGCAGCAGCAGCTTCACTGGAAAACAGGCACAGAGAAAGGTGGGAAATGGCAGGAGCTATGGATTTACCTTTGTGCCTCAGCATCCCTGGCACAAAGGTCCGACCTCACCCCCGGAAAAACCACGGGGTGCACAAACAGCCCCAACCCCTTCTCACTGTTACACTCTGGTATCACACTTAACGCTGTCCTGGTAACACTGTTCCTACACAGTCCAATGGCTTTAAGATCCCCTTCCTTCCCAAGGAAAGGCAAGCAGGCAGCTATCCAGACCCCTGGATAACCATCCCAGCTGCTTCCCAGCACCTGGGTCTCCCCATTTCTGAGGCAGGCAGGGAGAACGGGAGATTATCCCTCTGCAGATGTGGGGACAGCCTGGGCCACGGGGCACAGAGTGGAAATGAGCAGCTCTGAGGACAGGACCCCGTGGAGCTCCCTGCAAAGGCATCATTGCCAGGAGTGAACTCGGTAAAAATACCTGTCTGAAACCAAAACAAGCAGCCCCAAACATAGGCACATTTGGGGCTGGCAGCTGCTAGCCCAGGTCAGCAGCTGCCCAGGCTGGCAGCTGCCCAGGTCAGCACCCCTGCCCCACCTGTGCCACGTGCTGGAGGGAGATGGGGCTGTGGAGGCTCCCACACGGCCACCAAATGGGTGGATTGTTCCTGTTTGATCAGTCAGAAAAGGAGCTGTAGGAGAGAGAGCTGCTGGAGCAAAGAGGCATTGAGAGGAAGCAGAGCTAAGGGCGCTGAGCACCCTGCACCAAGTGGACTCCCACTCCACGTTTTCCCTGAAAGCAGAGCTTTTCCAAGCACCGAAATGAACAGGATAACTGTAAAGCGGAGGAAAAGCAGATGTGTACGAGGTTGTTACAGGCAGTGGGACAGGGGAGGGTTCAGGTAAATACATGGAGCATCCCTGGACTCCCAGTTGTGACCCAGGACCACGGATTAAGGGAGCATGGAATGTTCCCACCCTCATCTCAAATATCAGCCATGGAGATCAGATTAACTGTGGATTCAGTTCTCTGTGAGACACCAGTGCCCAAGTAGGGTACAGCAGCCAAGAGGCACCTGGGGGGGAAGCACATGAATAATCCCAAGCCTTAAGGAACTGGAGCACCACAGAGAGCCTTGGACATGGCTGTGACCCTGCCAGTCCCACCAGTGGCAAGGAGAAATAGAGAAAACCAGGGAGAGACATCCCTGTTCCTGGGCCTACACAGTCACTGCTTCCTGCACATCCTCTCTGGAGGAGGGCAGGGAGAGCACAGGGAGGGAGGGGATCACACAGAGTTTGGAGTCACAGAGCAGCCACAGCACTGCAGGCAGGAAGACCCATGGTGGGGTTCAGGCTGCACCCCTGCACTGGTGTTACATGGTCAGATGTCGCTGCAATGATGGCTGGACAAGGAGCAGTCAAGTATTCCCATCTTTTTTGACAAACAGGTTTCTGATTGCTCCTTCCTCCACCTCCATTTGGCTCTAGCAGCTCATTCCCCCCAGGCTGCACTCCCAGCACCTCTCTCTGGCAGAGCCAGGCAGGGCTGAGGGAGAGCAGGCAGGATCCCCTCACCACAGAGCTCCCTCCACCTGCGAGCCAGGCTCCAGCTTTCCACCTTGGAGAGAGACTGTGGGGTCACATTCAGCTCCACTGCCCACTCAGGGAGACTGAGCTGATCTGGTGCTAAAATAAAGTTGAGATTAAAGAAAAGAGAGACCTGGTCAGCTTGAGAAGAAGGGAGGAAAAACCCAACAGAGAGACTGAGCCAGGATGACAGACAGACAGTGCTGCAACACAAAGGGGTCCAGGAGCTGAACATGTGGAGCTTCCATCCCTGCAAGCCAGAGTGGGACCAGGCATCCCCCAGTTCTCCTGCCACAGCAGAGGTCTGACACGTGCCAGATCCCAGGAGAACCATCTTCCAGGCAGACAGAGAAACGGCACCTCCAGGACGAGCAGCACCGCCTGTCTGCCCGTGTGTCCCCACGAGCGGGAGCAACCCTGGAGGAGAGCCCGGGAGCAACCCTGGAGGAGAGCCCAGGCACACGGGAGGGCAGGAGAGGGGGCACGGAACACTTACAGCCTTTGGCTTGAAGGGGGGCTGGATCTCCTTGCGCTCCAGCTTGTCCCAGTCGATGTAGCGGAAGAAGGCGTGCTCCTTGATGTCCCGCTCCCCCTCCGGGCCGCAGCCCAGGCGCTTGGCGGGGTGCTTGGTCATCAGCTGGGAGAGAGCAAGAGAAGACACGGTCACTCACAGGGTGTCCAACTGTTTCCCACGTCCCCAGGGAGCTGTGATGTCCAGCTGGACAGGCAGCACCGTGCGGCTGCTGCCCCGGGACACCCCAGGTCAGGGTCTGTACCCCAGAGGGGTCCCGTCTGCTCCACCTGCTTTTGGGGCTCCAAGCAGAGGACCGAGGGAGAAGCCAGAGCAGCTCTGGGGACAGGGAAGGTTGACAACGGCTTATGAAAGTAGGTGGCAGGTACATAAGCACTGGCAGGATGGGCACATCCCCTTTCCCTCTGGGAATGAAACTGGTTCACCAAGAAACAACCTCAGGGTGCTGGCAGAGCACCCCGTGGTGCTGCAGCCTCTCCTGCTGCAGTGGGGGGCAGGACGGGAGCAAAGCTGCCTCTGCTCGGTACAAACTTCTCAGCATCTGCAGAATTAACTCTAAAACCCACTGCCCATTCAGGATGAACAATCTGCCCTCCAAAACTTTCATCAGCCCTCCTCCAGCAGAACCCCCACTCCTCTGGAGCCACGGCAGCACAGACATGAGGTGGATTTCTAATGAAAGAGTCAGTTTGGAAAAAAAAAGCAGAAACAGTCCATTAATGTCGTTTATCATCTAAACTTCTCCTCTTCACTGGCTCAGTAAGGGAAAGGGGCCCCAGGAATTAAGGGCGGCTGTACAACATTAATATCCTGGGGCAGGGTTTGAGCCATGTTCAGAGATCAGATGGAGATTCCAGAGATTCACAGGACATTGATAAGGATGGAGAATATGAGCTATATACCTGCAACAAAAGCACTGCTTTATTAAAAGCAAGGCAGTTCAAACTGGTCCCAGGGCTGTGCAGAGGTTGCAGGAAGTCTGACTCTGTGTCCCAGGGCTGGGGGAGCCTCTGGGAGGAAAAGGAGATGCCAATGCTCCAGCCAGAGAGCTGAGGAAAGGGTTTCAGAAGCAAGCAGAGAAGCTGTGCCTGCCCCATGCCTGGAAATGTTCAAGGCCAGGTTGGATGGGGTTTGGAGAAACCTGGTCTAGTAGAAGGTGTCCCTGCCCATGGCAGGGGGTTGAAACAAGATAAGCTTTAGTGTCCCAACCCAAACCATTCTAGGATTTTCAGACCAAAATAAGCCCATCAGCACAGGCAGCCATTGGCAGCACACACCACCCCATGGGGATCTCACAAGCTCCTCTGCCTGGGGTGCAGGTGTTGGATATGAGTCAGTCCTGCCACCCCGATGGTACAAAACAAACTTGCTCAGGGAAGTTGATCTTTAACAGCAGTGCTGCAACAGGGTGCTGAAAGCAAGGAAAACTCCAGGAAAAAAAAACCCAGAACCCTAAAAAGACAAACTCCAACAAATACGAGGTAAGAGCAGAGGCACCAACTGCTCTGTGAGCAAACAGCTCTACATCCCTGTCCCCCAGCCGTGATGCCATCTGCAGCTGGGAGAGTGATGGAGCACGGCTTCCCTGGATCAGCATCCCCCTGGAAAGCCCATCTGCAAACAGTGAGGGCCTGGCAGGCTACAGAGGCTGGACCAGGGATTTTCCAGCCTCTGCTCAGGAAGAGGATGTGACTGGCATCAGCATCAGCTTTGCAGAGCCTGTCCCTGTTGGAGGAGCCACGCTGGAGCATGGCCAGTGGGTCCGGGAGGGAGGGCATGGGGGGCAGGTGGCAGCAAAAACAAAAGCAAGGATTTTTTTCTAACTCGTTTTTTGTTAATAACCAAGTTTCCCTTGGCATTGCAGCACACAGCCCTTTATAAAATAGAAACCCAACAACAAATCTCAGAGTAAGAAGCCTGAGAAGGTGGTAGAGGTAACATGTCTTGGCCTCTTGAACATGTGGGGCAGCAGCACGGACAGCAGCTGTGATGGGCTTTTCTCAGGCACCAGCACCAGGGGAAATGGCACCCAAAATACCTGTAAATACTCCCAAAATGCTGCAGAAAATGTGCCATTTCATGCCTTTGCTACCAGGCAGAGATTAAAGAGGGAGCTGATAGTCACAGACAATCTGTTCCCCTGGAAAGGGCTGATTTGCTCAGGCACCATCAAACCTCTCCATATGGGATGGAAAAGGCTGAGGGTCTGTGCCAGTGCCCACACGCTCCTGGGACAGGAGTCTGGCTCCTAATAACCAAACCTGAGCTACCTGCCCATGGAAACAGCAGCTCCAGGATCAGCCTTCAGAAACAAATCCGAGCTGACAGCACAGGAGGGAAATGCTCCGTTTGATCCACTAATTGCTGCTGACTGGAGAGTCCTGGAGCCACGTGCCAGTGAACTCTCCAGTTTCCTTCCCAGCCAAGGATCCCTGATTAATGCTTGTCTCTGGGCTCAGGCCGGTTCCAGGCTTTCAGGATCAAACACATTTCATCTCTGGGTGGTGCAGGGATGACTGGCACCAGCACACTGGAGTGAAACCACGAGGGAACAGGGAAATGCGTTTGGAGACCGCGGCAGCGCAAGATCAAACCTCTCACGGGTAAGGGCAAAGGCTTCTCCGGTAGCTTGTTCCCTGCACTAATGTAACCCCAGGTTTGTGCCCTCCTGGCAGACCTACCACACACCAACACAACCAGCTCAGCCTCAGTGCAGCTCACTGAGATGTATTCCACTGTGTTCCAGGGCAAAACATACATACTTAGTTCCCAGCTTACTAAAAAGTTCTTAAATCCTACACAGTTTTAATTCAACTTTCGGGTGTAGCAGTTTGGTGGTGGCAAAGAATGTCAGGAGGTTTTGAAACAACAGTAGTACAGAGGGAACCACCACTTTGGTACAAAATAAATCTGGGAATTTATAGAGAATCAACCCTCGGTGCGTGGCCAAATATCCTCCCATGCAGCCTCCCATCTCCAGAGTGAGAAAAGCCATCGCAGCTACACCCAGCAGACGCTGCAGTCACGGTCCCTGCTCATCTATTTACAGCACCTACACTGTGACTGATGCAGCAGCAAACAAAGCTGACACTGAGCCTGGTCCCTGTTCCAGCCTCAGGGACAGTGATGCTCAGCAGCACCAGGCACCTCCCGCCCTCCTGCCTGACCAGGAACACGCTGGATTTTCCCTTTACATCCCCAACATCACAGTAAGAGGATGAGAGACGGTGACAGAGTCAGTGGGAATCCCCCTCTGACCACCCCTGTGGTTTCTAAATTAAGGACTTGATTTTCCCACATTGTGCTGATGGTGGTGGGGCAGCACCCCTCCCTGTGCCCCATTCCAGGTGGGAACACCTGCTTTTCCCCATGGGACAAGCGAATATTCCTCTTTAACACCAGCTCAGAATCCTGGCAATGCCAGGAAGAGGCTTTGAAATGCCGCAGTGGGAGCGTGAAGCGCAGGATGTGTCATTTGTAGATAGAAACACTATTTTGAGAGAGAGAACATTCAGATATTTTCAATATTAACTATTATAAGCAAACATTTCTTAAATTCCTACACAAACACATTTATAGCAGTGTGTGGCACCTGGGGGTGAGATGAGGCTCAGTCCCAAGCACAAGAGAACAACATCGGGACCTCGCCAGCCTTTATCCATCACATCCCAAATTAACTCAGGCTGCATTTAAGTCATGACTAGGCCCAGTCCATGGAGAGGTCGGGATGCTGGGCAAGGCAGAGCTTCGCTGCAGATTAAGAGACGGGATAATGAAAATACTGCCCTGACACCACAGAGATACCACCAGCACTGAGGTTCAGGTCATCTTGAAGGGTGACATCAGAGCTAAACAGAAGGATGAAAGTGTTTGATCTTAGAAAAACTATTTTGGGATCACATTCACTTTCCCTGAGCATCATTTTTCATTTCAGGCAAAGATTTTTAGAGCTGCCCTGTCCTCACCTGATGGGGCACAGAGTCTCTGGGGATGCCCTCCCTTCCCACCTCCCAGCCAACATCCCAATTCCCCCCTGAACTTCACCTGAGCCCTCAGAGCAGCCCCTGAGCCCCAGCTGTATCTCTGCTCAGTGTAACAGCACAGAGAGGATGTGGGTGTTATTTTCACCTGGTTTTAGTACACACACACAAATGACACAGGTTGTAGTTTTAGGAGTGGACAACCCACCCGAGTGTCAGATCCCCTTGCACTGGGGAGCAGGGGCTGAGCTGGGACCCCCAGGTGTGCAGGATCTCACTGCTCCCACTGCCCACACACCCCCCCAAACCAGAAGAGGACCCAGCCCAGCCCTTACCCCTTTGCAGATGGCCACTGCCTCCTTGGACATGGACTTGGGGTAGGCGACGTTGTGCTCCATGATGGACTGGAAGAGCTCGTCTTCATCTTCTCCCTCAAAGGGGGCCTAGAGCAAAGCAGACACAGGTTCAGTGGCATTTCTGGGTCCCTAAGCTTCCATGTGCTGCTGTGGTCCTTGGCCATGGACCCAGCCCTGGCTGTGCCATGCAGGGAGGTGAATCATCATCACAGTCCCTGGGGCTGCACCCAGAGTCACCCCAAGCTCCTAAGAAAATGCCCCAGCTGTGTGACAGCAGCATGGCAAATTCCACATCAGTGTATGCTCAGAATGGAATGTAACACAGCCCAGAGGAATCAATTAAAACTCAATTACCTGGCCAGCCAACATCTCATAGAGCAGGACTCCAAACGCCCACCAATCCACAGACTTCCCATAGGGCTGGTAAGCAATTATCTGCAAACAAGAGAACAGCAGGATTACACTCCCAGGTCTGACCTGGTGGCACAAGGCAAAGTGACTCCAAGCTGCAGCCCAGGTCACAAGGACAAGGTTATTCACTGGGACACGTTTCAGCACTGAAGTCCCTCAACTGAGCACACTCGGAGTTCCTCCCACCTGCTCTTTACCAGCACTCTGGGAAAGTCAGGTGTGAACTGTTCACACCACAAGGGCCTTTAAAAGGAAAGAGCACTTAGAAGAAATCCTCTGTCCTGTGAAGTCCCCACCTGCCCGTTGGGGAAGGTCAAAGCCCAGCAGGTGAGGAACAGCTTTGTTCAGCGGGGATCACACGCAGGGCTGTTCACACGCAGGACCTGCCACCTTGGCATGCAGAGCTCTGGCTTGGAATAGGAAAAGTCCTAAAAATGGGTCAAGCAAATCACAGGACTGTTTTACCCCGAAGCCACGTTGGCCTGAGCACATTGCAGCTCCCTAAAGGAGGAGGCAGGGAGCAGCAGAAGGGCCTGGGCTGGAGCCTGGCCACCGTGCCACAACCTTATTGCTATTCCCAAAGAGGAGGTGTGAGATCACTCCTCTGAGACCCACTGCCAGCAGGCTTTAATGCCATTCCTGGGTGCCACAGTGATCTGCATCCTAATTTCCTATTTTCTGTTCTTCTTTTGGAAAAAAAAGAATTAGAGCAAGGAGAAGAAAATAAGAGTTAAAGTGAAAACACTCAGGCAAATACTGAGAGAACTGGTCATCTGTCCTGTTTGAAGGAGCATTAATCACCCACAGCAACCAGCTCTGCACCAACACCCCCAGTATTAATCCTGGTGGGATGAGGGGATGGAACACATATTTGATCCAGTAATTGGAAACCTCACTGGCTGCAGCAAACACAACATTGTTTAGCACAGGAGTGCATCGATGTCCTAACAAACAGAATCTCTTTCTCTAAAATATTTACATGTATAAATATTAATCTCATTATTTCAAATTCAGCAGTGACAAGATTTTAGAGGGATGTTTTTATGCGAAGGAAACAGACACTGGGAATAATTATGCCCCTGAATTTCACAATTGTGCCCATGCAGCACCTCATGGAAGTGTCATGTGTGACTCCATCCCATCAGTAATAACCAAATGCAAAGTCATTTTGGGGTGATCTAGAGCCATGGATAGGGAGTGTCTCCCCAGCAGACACACGGCCTCTCACTGTGAACAGTGAGCTGGATAGATCTAAGGATTGCCACTTCACAGGGAAATATTATCCACTGGTAATTCCCTGTTTCCCACTGGTCATGTTGTGCTGGAGGTGTCACACACAATGAGGGGCAAAGCTGAGCTCCTGAGCTCGTCTTTTCCATGAGCAAGGGAGTAGCCCATGGTGCTCTGAGTGTGCCAAGGGTCAGACAGGCGTGGAGCTGCCAGCAGGACATGGGAAAAAACCAAGAGAGGGAAAACACACTGCAGGGAGAACAGCATGAGGATTTGCTGCACTTTGAGGGGAAGCAGGGAACAGTCCAACAAAGACACAGATCCAGCATCCCTGCTTCCTTAAGGTCAGCGGGAGATGGACAGTGCTGAGGGGATGAACTTCCCAGGCTGACAGTGAATTCCCTCATGTCCCTGTTTCTGCCCAAAGCAAGGTTGTCCCGTGGGGAGGAGCACCAGGGAGGCTGCCGGGCCGTGCCCGGAGCAGCGGCCGCCCTGCCCAGCTCACCTCGGGCGCGATGTAGTCCGGAGTGCCACAGAAGGTCTTGGTGGTCACCCCGTCCCAGATGTTCTCCTTGCACATGCCGAAGTCTGCGATCTTTATGTGCCCCTCGCTATCCAGCATCACGTTGTCCAGCTTCAGGTCTCTACAGAGTGAGAGCAAACCCGTGACACAACGGACAACACGAGTCTCCCGACTCCTGGGGCTCTGCTGGACTGCTGACCTCCAGCTTTGTCTCACACCCCAGACTCTTTGCAGGGGAAATGAGTAATAATAAGTCAGAGATCTGTCAGGATGGAGTGTTTATTTTACTTTTAACCCACAGGAACACCATGCTGGGCACAGTGCTTTGAAGTGTATGACGGAAAATACTCATCTGGCAGGGGATGGGTTGAATTGATTTTGTTTTTTTGCTCCTATGAAAATCAAAGTGCACTTAAAGCTCCCAGCGATGAAGAAGCCCCTATTCAGCACAAGTCCCTGCCTCACCTGTGCTCTGCTCCCCATGAAATACAAATCAGCTGTGTTTCTCTCTGATCCTCACCCACAGAATACCTGTTTGTGGTACCCAACTTCCCAGAAGCTCTGCTCCTCAAAATGAGCTGCAGGGATGGATCCAGCTGCAGAGCCCCGGATCCAACTCCCAGTCCCAACTCAGGTGGGTGCTCCAGCCTCGAGGACACTTCTGTAGCAAACAGTATTTTGGTGCAATTTCTACACTCTTGCTGGTTTTAAGGCTGCTTTTTCCAATTATCATGTCAGTGCTTAGAACCCCAACAGGCCAAAGGCAGATGGACAGGAGCTGGGATTCAGACTTGGAGGAAGGAAGGAAGCAGGGGCACTGGGGACTGACAAACCAAGAAATCTCTCTGCAGCAGAGGATGGCAAAAAACATCCCTCATGTCAAGTTTGCTCTACTTCTTTCATCTCCAGCATCTCCCTTTGCAGGGCACTTAATGGTATCTGACACTCATTAGGATGCTCCGCTCCACCCTGAGCTCTGGGAATTCTCCTGAGCAGGGAAGAGCAGTGAACACTGGTTTCAGAGCTAAACCAGCAGCCTCTGAGCCTGGTCTGGCACGTGGCAGCGACCCAGATCCTCTGGGTGCCCTAATCATACTGGGGATGGCAAAGGAGATTCAGTGGCTGAAGCAGAAGTGACACTCACACTGCAGAGCTCAGAACCAGCCACTGGCAAGCGCTTCCTCCAGTGTTAATGGTAGGAGAGAGGTGCCCTGAGGGGCTGGGAGCTGCTCCAGGCTGCCAGCCAGCATTTGTGTTGTGTGGAGAGAAACACGTGGAACGGGGGCAAGAGAGAACCAGAGGTGCCTTCCTATAAACCAGGATAAAGCAGGAGCCTCCTCCAAACCAGCGGCACCTCGAGGCTCCCAGCTCTGCTTGGGGGTCTTTTCTGACCTTAATGATTCTGTGATTCTACCTACAGGCAGCTGCCAGATCCTGCCCATGGCACAGGCAGGGAGAGCCCTGGGCTGGGGCTGTGGCAGATGGGGAGCCCAGAGCCTCTGGCCAGAGGTCCAGGGGAGGGGAGGAAGGAGGAACCTGCTCACCTACCGATAAATGATGCCTTTGCTCTGCAGGAAGAAGAGGCCAATGGCTATTTCTGCTGCGTAGAACCTGAAATGGGAGATTCAAAAGGAAGGCTGATAATTAAAGGAGATGAATCAAAATGAAAACCTTTCAAATCCGATCACAGTGAATGAAGCATCTGAAGGCTTTCAGGAACACATCCTGCTCTGTCCAGCTCACAGGGGACAGGAGCCAAAAGGCACCAGTTAACACTCAGGTTGGCCATCCCAGCAGAGGAGCCAACACCCAGTGTCCTTTTCGCCCCCCAGGGAGGGGGGAAGCCTCCAAAACCTCCCTGCCTTGTGCTTTCATTTACATAAATTTATTTATTTAGCTCAGTTATTTACAAGTGCAATGTACCTCAAAGGTGAGGTGGAGGTACCAGCATCCTTGGCAAAGACTTCTCCTGCTTCTTCCCAGTCCTGCTGTTTCCCCTCCCTTTCTGCCCAGGAATTGCCCCACAAAGTCTGTGCCTTGGGCTCTATTTCCAGCCACATGACACAAATACATCCCATACCTACCCCAAGGGTGCCAAACTACTGCACTTACACTGCGTGGGGCTCCTTGAACCTCCCGACCTGCTGGATCTGGTACATCAAGTCCCCACCATTCACATATTCCATCACAAAATACAAGCGATCCTAAAGGAAAAAAGAAACAATTAACAACAGAATTATCAGAGCAGGGAATCTGCAGGGGCCAGAAACAAGGACTGAGGCGATGGGCAGCTCCAATCTGTATTTCCATGGCAATACAGTCATCATCCCGGTGCTCCCCACGAGGTGCAGGGGGCTCATGTTCATACAGAGCCCAGAAGTGCTGATTCCTTTGCAACACTTGGGGCTGAAGCTCTGCACCTCTGCAGACAGACCCGCTGGAGAAGGCAAGTGGAGGAATCCCTAAACCAGAGGATTTTCACTTCCCAGGAATATGTTTGCTCTTCTTCACGGAATCTGTTTTCAGAGAGTTGGTCAGGCAGCTCCTCGCTGGCATTTCCCCACACACTGCATGGCTTCAATTAAGGGATGCACAGGAGACATGAGCACTTCCAGTGGGGACCAAACTCCACCCATGCCCACCATGACTTAGCCAAGCACCAGGAGGACGTGTGACATTGCCAGCCCTCTCCTGGGCCAGCAGTGCCAGGGTTGCACAGGTCTGCAGGGGATCCAGCTGCCCTTGATCAAGCTGGGGAGGCAGGAAGGAGCTGCATCCCTTCTCCTCACTGCTCCCAGCCTGGTCTGAGGGGCCACCTCATTTAACCACACATGGTTAGATGAGTCCTGAGGAGTTCAGAGGTGCTTTGAGGGCTGGAGCCCCTCCGCTCTGGAGCCAGGCCGGCAGAGCTGGGGTGTTCACCCGGAGAAGAGAGGGCTCTGGGGAGACCTGAGAGCCCCTTCCAGTGCCTAAAGGGGCTCCAAGAGAGCTGAGGAGGGACTTTGGACAAGGGCACGGAGTGACATGTGCCCTTGACACACAGGAGCCAAAGGACACCCTGGGCTGGCCCCATCCCAGCTCACGGAAGGAAGGACAGAGGCTGGAGCACTGAGAGCTGCAGGTTGGCAGCTTTATATAACACTTCATAATATTTCCTCATTTCCTCCCTAAATAAGCTTTGCCCTGCTTTTCAGACAGGAAGGACAAGGAGATCCAAAGAGATGCAGATGGAGCACTGCCATAAGAAGGGCTATGGAGGAACTGGGGTCATCAGCTCCAGCACTACACAGGGCACAGCCCAGCCTGGTGATGCCCAGCCGGAGGAACTGGAGTCATTGGCTCCTGCCTCCTGGCACAGCCCACCCAGACATGGGGGCAGCACCAAAGGGAATTAAATAGAGCACCAAAGGGGCAATTGGGCTGTGTAAAACATGTGACACTGATGGGATAGAAGGGCAAATTCAGTTTGGGGATTTTGGAGCCCCCCACTCTGTAAAGGACTGCCCTGCCAGCCCGCGGGGGAGGCACGTGCAGGCAATGTCACCTTGAGCAGGCAGAGCCACGGCAGCCAGGCTGTGACAGCCACGGGAGAGCAGAGCAACGCTGTGCTCGGCTGCAGCTGCTTCCTAAATATATCGATCGGCTTCAAGAAGGAAGAATATTAAAAAGACGGTCTCTTGAAACAGCCAGCTGAGCTCTAAAAGCAGGAGCTGAGCTTTCCTCATTTGGGTGGGGAAGGGAACGCTGGTGCTTCAGAGAAAAATGCCACGAGTAAAGCAGGCAGATGGCTGGGCAGCCCACGGGCTGGGAGGGAGGGATGGATGGGCACAGAACGCTGTCCTGGATCCTGCCGGAGGCAGAAAGGATGGCGTCTGTCCAAGTCTGGAGCATCCAAACCCACTGAGCAACAGCACAGTTCGGAGATGTAAATCCCACTGCAGAGCCTGGCATGGAGCCGGTGACACCCCCCTTCGCTGGGCAGACAAGGTGCAGCTCCCAGGCTCCTTCCAGTGCCCTTCTCCTAATTAACCACTTATTAACCTGATTAACCATTTAGTCCATCCCCTGCCCAACCCCACACTGGAAACGAGTGGCAGCGCCAGGACAGCACCCACCCTCCACATCCACCCCCTTATTAGACACTAGGGAGAAATCCGTCCCTGTGAGGGTGGGGAGGCCCTGGCACAGGTTGCCCAGAGAAGCTCTGGCTGCCCCATCCCTGCAAGTGTTCAAGGCCAGGTTGGACAGGGTCCCTGCCCATGGCAGGGGGCAGAACTGAGTGATTTCTGAGGTCCCTTCCAACCTAAACCATTCCAGGATTCTGTGCTCCTGTGATTTACCATCTCAACGTTGCGGCAGCTGCTTTGTGCTGTTCCCTTTGTGCTGTGCCCCAGAGGGAACCAAGGTCACCAGTGAAGGCACAGCTCACCTGGGGACACCCAGGGACCCCTGGCTCACACCTTTCCCTGGAGCCCAGGATCTCACTGGGATCTTTCAAAGCAGAGCACTCCAGGACATGCCAGCACAGGCATCTCTTGCCCTTCAGCCCCAGGCAGGAGCTCTCTCTCTCATTGCTCATCTTCACTCTTTCTTTAACACAGATTTAGGGCTCGTGTCTCTCCCGAAGCCGCTGAGCCAACAGCCTCGGCTGAGAATTGTGCTCTGGACTGTGCTCCCAGAAATCAAAGTGCTTTGTGCCAGCGTTTGATAATACACCCTGCTATACATTTTGATTACATTACAAATACGATTACTATTAAGCTACTATAGGTCTGCCAGGAATAATCCCGCGCTGACTCACTTCAGATGCCAGTGAGATGCTGTGTGAAATAGCTGCTCCTGCCACATTTCTGATTACTGTGCTGCAAAGCCAGGCCGCAGGCTTTAAACACTCAATGTGTTTGGTAAATGAAATTTCTGGAATAATATTAAAATGTAATCCTCCTGGAAAGCATTGTCATCGTTCTAAAGGACTCTGCTGATTCCCTCTCCTGGCTCCCACTGACACGGGCCTGGACATTCTCATTCACAGGTTGCTCGAGGGCTGGGCAGGGATTGTGTTAAAGGTCCCCTGTCCCCCTCTCCACTCCTGACTCATACAAACCCAATCACATGCCCATTTCAAACTGGATTTCCTGTGGTTTGGATTAGGTTTCTCCCTTTACTCAGGGTTTTGATCACAGGGATGAGTCCTAGGAAAAACTGCAGCACTTGGCAATTGAATCATAAGGGACACTGTGGGCTGGGGGTGCCTGAGGGGCTGGGAAATCACTACTAACACCATGAACAGCTCCCTGATGAAAACATCTCAGGGGAGTGCAGCTATTGGACATTACACTCTCGTTTCACACATTTTGTCATGGAGACACTTTTGCCAGAGAGGTGGACAAGCTGTGAGGTTGCCAAGGCAGAGAATACAGGGCTGCTTTGGCAAGAGCAGTGATGTACAGGGAATCCCAGAATGGCCTGGGTTGGAAGGGACCTTAAAACTCATCCAGTTCTACCTGTGCCATTGGCAGGGACACCTCCCACTAGCTCAGGTTGCTCCAAGCCCCATCCAATCTGGCCTTGGACACTATTGCAATCCATTTGCCAAGGGTGAGGCTCCCAGTGCTCAGGGTCCACAGTCCCTCTGCCCCTTGCCCAGGGACAAGCTGTGGCACCAGCACTTACCATGGTCTGGAAGCAGGAGTGGAGCTGGGTCAGGAACGGAGGCTTCCCGGAGAGAGCCAGGACACGTTTTTCCACCATCGTGCACTCCACATCATCATCCTGGATAACAACGTCCTTCTTCAGGATCTTCACAGCATAGAGCTCGTCTGTGCCCTTCCTCTCCGCCAGCATCACCTACTCAGGGTGGAGGATAAGTGCAGGATCAAGGGAAATGTGGATTTTAAATGCCCTGACCTTAAATAGTTAAACTAATGGCTTGCTTATTATCCTGCGGCTCCTGTTACAACCCTGAGAAGAGCTTCAGGTGCCAAATGATGCAGAAAGCTATCAGGGGTATTGCCAAAAGCATTTAGGGACACCAAATCTAATGAGTAACAAGTCTACTCCCTCACCACCTCATTGCCTGGAGGAGCCCATCCCAAGGGTTTGCTGATGTCTGAGCCCAGCTCACCCCCCAGCACCCCCAGCCCTGAGTCAGGGCCCAGGGCAGCACCCTCACAGTGTCACCAGCAATGGGGGAGGCTGTCAAGAGTCTGAACACAGAATCCATCAAATTACAAAGTGGTAAAAATTTAAAGTGGAAAAGAGTCAGTCTATAGTGAATAGTAAGGAAAAAACCACACAATTTTCTCTGTTTCACCCTGCCCCCCAACAGTGACCAAACCCCACTGTGAGTGGGTCCATCCCCCAGCCAAAGCCCCTCCCAGCCAGAAGAATCCATCCAACCTCTCATTTCAAGCCACTCTCACCCATTTACAGGTTTATTTATTGCAGTAAATGGGATTCACTGCTTCTGATGGTGCAAATCCCCCGGGTTAATCCCATCAGCCCAGCGAGGGTCCCCATCCCGGCCCACCACGCTCCATCAGCCTAAGCTGCTCCTTGTGCTGCCAGCAACACAAACCGACTCTGAAACCACACTTTGCCTCCCATTTTCCCTCTTGCACTCTCTCATCACATTAGATTGGAGTGCTGGCTGGAAATGAATTGCTTTTCATTTGAAGGAGTCGGCAGAAATCCTCCAGTCACATCGGGAACAGCAGCTCGGGGGTTTTGGAAATAAATTATGTGAAGTCAACATCAATAGGGTGGAACTGAAATGCGCTTCAGGCTGGGGCAGACTGGCAGAAGACACACGAGCGGGTCTCGGGATGACTTTTGAGGCTCTAAGGACAGCCGGATTAACCCTCTTGTGTTCCAGCCCTGGCACAGCTGCCCAGGGCAGGGGTGGAGTCCCCATCCCTGGAGGGATTTAACAGACGTGTGCATGTGGCACTTGGGGACATGAGTTAGTGGTGGCCTTGGCAGTGCTATGGGAAAGGTTGGACTCGACGATCTTAGAAGGCTTTTCCAACCTCAGTGATTCTGTGATTCTGTTCTATGACACAGCCCAAGGACCAGGGATGACAAGGCAGGGACACAGCCCAAGGATTGAGGTCTTCATTGCCCACCCACTTGTTTGAGTGAAAGTACCAGTGGGAGAGGGAACGGCCCCTTCCGAGCGCACGTGGCTCTGGCCCGTTCCCGGTGCTGGCCCTGGGGAGCTCGGCTGTCCTGGACACGCTGTCTGTCAGGATTAGCTGGGAATGGCGCTGGAGCTCCTCAGAGCCAAGTGCTCTGGAGCAGGTGCTGACATTTCCCTCTCCATCAGCGGGGTGGGGCTGCAGCAGCCACGCACCGATTCATCTCTCACAGGGCTGGGCCGTGGGCTGGCGGCTCAGGGACCTCGGCAGAGCACTGATTCACTCACTGGTGCTTGAGAAACACTGAGAGCCCAGAGCAGCTCGTTGTGCTGCTGGGATGGAGCTCAGCAAGGCACAGGCATTGGGACCAGCTCTGGGCTTCGCCTTTTCCTGCTACCGGTTCCCTGAGATGTTTGCAACAGCCCTTAGCACCACACACAGGGACAGACAGACGGACACCCTGCCTGCAGCCACGGAACAGTAATGAGGGGACAAGGGGGAATGGCTTCACACTGACAGAGAACAGGGTTAGACGGGATATTGGGAAGAAATTCCTTCCTGTGAGGGTGGGGAGGCCCTGGCACAGGTTGCCCAGAGAAGCTGTGGCTGCCCCATCCCTGGAAGTGTCCCAGGCCAGGCTGGATGGGGCTTGGAGCAACCTGGGCTAGTAAAAAGTGACCCTGCCCATGGCAGGGGGTGGGATGGAATGAGCTTTAAGGTCCCTTCCAACCCGAACCATTACATGTTTCTCTGCCAGGGCAGCAGACACAGCTGCCTCACGTGGAGTCTGCACCTCTGCCCTCCCTTCTGATTCTGCCCAAACTGAACTGTTTTGGTTCATTGCCTCCATTTATCACCATTTTTACACAAGTTGAGCTTTACAAGGTGCTGTACACAGGTGCTAAAACCAGGGCTGATTTCTAAGTGATAAAAGCAGACAGGCTTTGCTGTTCAAAATTGGTGGAAAAGAAGCAACTGCTCCAAGAATAGAGTTTGTGGGAAAATTAAACCTGTTACCTGGGAGTAAGGGCATTATATACAATATTAGTTATATACAGACCTGCCCTGCTATCCATAACCCTTTCAGAGGAAAGTTAACTAAACCAGGGAGCCTCTGAGCCTGGCATCTGCTGCTGCCCTGAAGGGACCTTGCCGGGGACGTGGCTCCCACCCCCCTGTGCAGCGAGGCAGAGGTTGGCTGGGGTACCACCACAAATGCAAAAAACTGCTCCAGGGCACACATGGGCTGTGAACGGTTCATGCAGCAGCTTCCTAACGACATGGCAACCCCCAGCACAGCTGAGCCAGCCCTGCTTTGCTAGGATGTGAAAGGCAAAAGGACCCTCCAAGTTGCTGAGAACCAGCGGGTGACACACAGGGGACCCCGGGTGTGAAGTGTGTGCCCAGGAGTGCAGGGATGGTGGAAACCACCCGCTGCCCTCAGTCACATCTGGGCTGTGTTCCCCTCTCCTGTGTTAAAGAATCACAGAATCACTGAGGTTGGAAAAGACCTCCAAGATCATAGAGTCCAACTTATGACTGATCCCCACCTTGTCCCCCAGCCCAGAGCACCGAGTGCCACGTCCAGTTGTACCTTGGACACCTCCAGGGATGGGGACTCCACCACCTCCCTGGGCAGCCCCTTCCAATGCCTGACCACCCTTTCCATAAAGAAATTCTTCCTGACGTCTTTCTGGTGTCCTGATGTCTGGAGGTGTTCAAATACCAAGAGAAGCAAACAGGCAAATGCCCCAGCACAGTCGGTGATGCCCTGACCAGAGCCATGCACAGGTTATGGTTGATTATCACAGCACATGAAAACTATGTTCCATTGGACTGGAATCCAGAACTGCAGTGGCCAAAGGCTCCACCCTGCTCAGCAAAACACCACAAAACCCCCTAAAAGCCTGACAGCTAGAGAGCACAACAGATTGATTAGCTGAAAAAATATGAGCAAGCCACGTAATTTCCTTTTCCTCTATTTATATTACAGCAAAGCAAACCCAGGGTGGGCTGTGCCAAGTGCTGCCTCCCTCCCTGGGAAGGTCTCCCTGCCCATGCCAGCCCATGGAGTGCTGCCACCAGCCACAGTCTTGGGGGCTTGGTGGAACTCACGACCAAGGGAGCCCAAGGAGGTCCCAGAGCACCAGGAGCAAACAGGGCCACCCTGTGTCCTGGGGCTGAATGCACCAACCCACGATTCTGCACACCCAAGCCCCTATTTTCCAAACCAGATCCATTTTCCACCCCCTAAACTCTGCTGCCTGGCTCGGGGGACCTCCATCTGCCAGCACACTCGCTGGGAAGCAGATTGCATTCTTTTTTAATTTTTTTTTTTGGTGCAGAAAAAAGCTGATATTTAACTTGATTTATTCCTGTAATATAGAGTATTGTTTGGGAATGCTTCAGCATAAAAACTGGAGATATTCTGAACATAGAGAAAGCAAGTTTGTTAAACTCCACTGAGGCCAACATATTGGTACTCCTGACCTGAACTGCCAGAGTGTGGAGAGAGGAAAATACCAAGCAGTAAATCTGAGATCCTGATGCCAAAGAGTTAACAGAGAGAGACAGAGACTCACTAAAATAGTGTGGTTATAGTCCAAGAGCTCTCACAGCCAGCAGGGACTGGGAGGAGGGAGGCTGGCAGCAGGCAGCCAGCACAGGAGCAGGCAGTGCCAGCCCTAGGAGGGAAGGCCACGGTGCCAGCCCTGGAGAAGGACGGTGATGCCACGAGCACAGAGTGGGCTGCTGGGCACGCCAAGGGCTGCAGGGGGCTGAGCCCGGGGCTCCCTCCCCTCTGTGCCCCCTGCCCGGCTCCGGGCACACGCCCTCACTGTCCCTAACCAGGAGCAGGCACAGACCCTGTGCTGTGCCAGCCCGTGCCCCCGAGCAGGGGGATGCCGTGGGGAAGTGCAGGCACACGTGAGCAGGAGGCTGCCTCTGCCCGCAGAAACCAATGGTGCCGTTTTAATTAGCGCTAATTAGCATATTTATAACATGCTGTTCCAGGGAACAGTTTCTGTCACACATTCCCTTATATAAGCCACAGAGCCAACTGAAGAGTTTGCTAATGTTTCTCAAATTTAAGGAAAGAAGGCGGGGGGGGCTACACGATGCACAGCCACAGTCTCCAGATGCCAGTGCTGAGTTTGAAAGGGATGAGGTGTTGGGAGGGAGGGAAAGGGGACATGGATATATTTCTGTGTGAGCAGCATGAGCACAAGGCTTTCCTGCTCCCCAGGATACCAACACACAGCAAAGGGGTCCGACGGCGAGTTCTGGGCAGGAACCCCAGGCTGATGCTCTGAGTGCTGGGGACCATCAGGACCTCCCTGTTTTCCACCTGTCAAAGGTGTTTCCATGGATCTCTGAGCTCTCCATCTCCAGAGAGGGAGCAAACACCCAAACAGAGGCTGGGACCTCCCCAAGCTCCACGGCCATCAGGAGAAGGCTGAGGGAGGGAAGGGGTGTCCCTGCTGCACCCCTGTGCTCAGGTGATGGGGGAACATCACTCCCCTGCACACCCTCCTCATCTTCGCTACCTGCCCAAGGAACGAGTCTGTTGGCAGAACAATATTTCCTGCAATTAAGGGGGAATTCACTAATGACAGTGGTGCTGGGCCAGTCATCACACCAGCAGACACCAGGACAGTGTCCAGTGAGAACCACCCCCCACCCCCATGGAGCCCCAGCAGCCCCTGGAGCACTGGGATCCCAAATGGAAATCATGAGAGTGTTGGAAAGACCCCAAGAAAAATGAAGGCTCTGAGTCACATAATTATCACAAGAATGAAGTTCTGTTACTGCTTATATATCCCACATATTTGTAACTATTAGGAAAAAAATAAAGGCCAAATAAAAAAGAGCTTTAAAGACACAGCTCAGCCCCCCACTTCCCAAAAGGGGCCAGATGGTTTTTGTGATGGTCTCATCAGACTTCTCAGGTGTTCCCCGCTGTGACCCAGAGGTCACAGTCCAGAGGGAGCCAAGCTGGGCTCCCAGCACCGTGACACCAGTGCTCCCAGTCAGAGCGAGGACAGGTCACACTGGAGCAGCCACACGAAACTTATCTTAAATATAGACAGTGTCAAGGAGAGTTTGGTGCCTCACCTTCCCAAAGCTTCCTTTTCCCAGCACCATCAGGAAGTTGAAGTCCGAAAGCTTCATCCGATCTCTGCTCCCGTTGTTGTCAAATTTGGAAATGGCATTTCTTGTCTTCTCATCCGCAGCCTTGGACCCAGTTCCGATCTTGGCTCTCTGCAAAGGTGGACACAGGACAGGGAGAAAAGAAAAAACATTTCTGAAATCAGCAGGGAGAAAGGGTGTTATAAACCCCAGTGCATGCCCCCAAAATCCCACCTAGTCAGCCCTTTCCCAGCTCAAACACCACCCTGAGCTTCAGGAACCTTTTCCATCACCGTGATGGGGACAGCACCAAGAAGGGCACTGGAGGAGTTACCAGCACTGGCACATGGCACAGATCGACTGCTGCCCAGTCAACCTCTGCCAGAGCAACTGGGAACCACCTCTGCCCATTGTCACACTCTCCCCATGCCAGAAGGTAGCCTGCCACACTGCCCCATGCTCCAGGTCATCCAAAGCATAGAACAGAGTCTTAAAGAAGCTTTTTTCCTCAGAACAAGCTTCTGTCTCTCACCTCTTCAGAAAAGGATGGGTGAATATCTCACAGAATATTTCACACAATATTCTGAGTTAGAAGGGACCCACAAGGATCGAGTTCAGCTCTTAAGTGAATGGCCCATACAGGGATTGAACCCATAACCTTGGTGTATATAAATATATTAAGGCAAAACACAAGACTTTTTATCCAGCTCCACCTCCGTTACTCCCCTTATGGGTCCCTTCCAACTTGAGATATTCCATGATTATATCTGATGTTGAAGAGAATCACACTCCTGTGCCAGGTCAGGTTGAACATAGGAAGCCCCAAATCTATTTGGAACAGCAGAGAACAGAGAGCCCCCCTCTCACACCCCCAACCACCCTCACAACCACAGCTGCTCACTGAGGACCCCCACAACCCCCCATGCTTAAACACCAAACCCCACCAGTGTCCTGGCACCTCCTCCCCAGGCCAGGGGCTGTCTGATGTGCCGAACCACTGCTTGGAAAAGCTATCTCACAATTTATTCTCTTTTAATTTATGGAACTGTGTGGCAGTGTGAGGCCTGTGCCGAGCTCAGCCTAGCATGAAATTCCATTAACCCGATCCCGGCGGTTCAATTTGGCTGCTGCTGGCAGCCCCTCCAGATAGCACCTCACGGGTAATCTCAAGCCTTTGCTGCTGCTAATTGGTTCTCACAAGGTTCTCCCTGCTGCTGAATTCCCCACTCAAGGTCACCTGCAGCACCTACGAGCATCTGAAAAGCTCCTGCACTGAAAACTGAAGGACTGGTCTCTCTTCAAACACCATTGGTGTGACCACAGCTCTGCCCCGGGAAGAGGCTGGAACCCAAGGATGGGACCTGCTGCTGTCACTGGAGCCACACACATCCCGTCTGCTTCCCAGTGGGAAAATATTCATACAGCGAAAAGGAAATAAAGTCACGTCTCCCAAAGCACAAGGGGTTTCCTCAGAGTCATCTTCAGGCTCTTCCAGTGTCCCCAAAGGACAGGGAGACCCAGGCAGGCACTGTATTGACAACCAGCTCAGGTGACCAACAGCAGCTCTGACACAGCCAAACATGTCTCATTGAGCCCAACCAAATCACAGAACCACAGAATGACTTGGGTTGGAGGGACCTTAAAGATCATCCAGAGAGGATGATCAAAGAGGGGGAAAGAAGAGGATTTTCTTTTGCTCCATCTCAGCAAACCATCCAGCCTCAAGCCCAGCACCAGCAGACACGGGCTGAGCACCAGCACCCAGACCTGGGGTGTCCTGGGGTCCCTCCTGAGGCTGTGTCTGAAGAGGGGCCGATTCAAACTCTGTCAGTCCAGCACTTGACCTGATATGCAGCATCACAGTATGTTCAGGAAGATCAGATGAGGATATAAACATAACCAGGCCTCCCTGATAGAGCAGGCTCAGGGTGTGGCTTAGCCAGGAGGGTGAAGGTCTTCCCAGAAAAGAGCCCAGAATAAGAGCTGGGGCAATGTAATGACCAGCACTCCCAAGGGAAGGGTCTTGCTTCTGCTGTCAAGCATCTCTAAGGACCCTAAGTGAACACAAAAGTCCTGTAACCTCTTTGTAATGCACTCCTAACACCTCCACAATTTCGAGACCTCTTTGAGGTTTACAACCGAAGCGTGCCAAGTATTGCTCACTAACTTTTTTTAAAAAAAGCACTTGACCTTCGTTATCCAACTCCATTTGTCACAGTTAATTTACTACATCTGAATTTATGCAAGAGCAGCTGACATCCCCATCTCTCCAGCTGTCCCAGAGAGGGGCTGATAAAGAGCGAGCGGAGCTGGCAGGGATGTGGTGCCGGGATGTGGTGCCGGGATGTGGTGCAGGGATGTGGTGCAGGGATGTGGTGCAGGGATGTGGTGCCGGGATTTGGTGCTGGGATGCAGCACAGGGTTCCATGCTGGGCTGCTCTCGGATGGTCCTTGTCCAGCCCAGGCCGTGCTGGGACACGGCTGCAGGGAGCACAGCAGCACCTTGCTCAGGCTGTGGAGAGGGGCATGGCTCTGGCAGCAGCTCCACAAGCTTCCAGGCAGCTCCATGTCCCCCAGGCTGGCACCGTGTCCTCCCTGCCAGGCTCCAGCACACTCCACTCCTCCCTCCCAACACCAGCACCAGCCATGGCCCAGCTGGAAGGGGATCCCCTGCCTGTAACACTGACTTCCTCACAAGGGAGGAGGGGAGACACATCAAGGTCAGGGCACGGGTGTACTCTGGCACCTCTGGACTGTGTGTTTTCTGATCTGTAGAAAACTCATCATCTGACTTCCAACACAGCATTTTAACACCACTGGAACATCATGAAATGCAACAGAAGACAGTTGTTAGTTCTTTATAAAGCCAATAACCATTGTTTGTAGCTAACTGTTGTATTAGAACTGTCCTTTCTTGTATATTCAGGAAAGTTGTGTATAAATAAGATAAAAAAAGAAAGGAGAACTCCAGTCTCTGCTACAATTATGGAGTTCATGCTGACAACCATAAGGGCAATTCTTTTATGTATGGCTCATTGCATGTAAGTCTCCAGATGTACCATGCTCATTCCCAAGGTTCTGGGGAGATTTTAGCTACGCTGAGAAATGGCAAAGACCTGTTAACTCAGCAATGTCTGGATCAATCGTTCAGCAAGATCTTCCACGGCTTATTAAGTAGTAAATAGACATTTCTCCTTGAAGCCTCTGTGGGGAGTTGGACCCTACTCCATGTTCCCTGTGCTGCCAGGGAAAGAGCTAGCAGGGAAAGCCCCTTGCTGAGGGCACTGCAGGCAGGCAGCAAAGAAAACATCTGAGTCCAACAAAAAATCAATTCACCTCAAATTTCTGCCTCAGTTCCTCGTTTCCTTCTTCTCCCTCGGGAGGCACTGGGACGTTGAAATACTCCCCCTCCTCCTGGCTCAGCAGCTTAAACCTGGAGGGAAAGTGAGAATGTCGGGTCAGGATGGCAGGTGGGGCTGCAGGTAGGCAGGACCACAGGCAGGACCTCACCCCTGCTCCCCTGCTCCGAGCATGGCACCCAGGTGAACCTTCCCCAAGGTCAGAAGACCCCCCAAACCATGCCCCTCAGCAAGCCCCAGACTCTCAGCCAGGTGGAGGGATGTTTCTGGGTCCCTCACTGCACTGGGGACCCCCACAGCCCAGGGAGCACATCCACTGCCTGCTGTGGGGGGCACACAGAGCACTGACATCACTCTCAAATGAATCCTGACCCCAAAACCCACAGACAAAAGCATGTCTTTGTCATGACAGGCACAGGCACAGGCGTGGGCAAAGCCCCTCTCCATCAGCTGCCCCCCAAGGACAGCACGTGGAATGTGCCAGTGCCAGGCTGGTGCTGCCAACCCTGAGAGCACAGACAAGATGCTCCTCAAAAGAAGGAAAAAAGCAGCAATTATTAGAAATCATGGAAATGCCACTCAGAAAAGAGGCATTCCACCCCATTAGGGGTGAAGCCCAGCTCTGGCAGCAGAGGCTCTGGCAGCCAGGAGGGTTCTCAGCTGGGTGTTATCCCAGAGGCTGCTCCGAACAACAAAGCCCTGTCCGCATAACACAGGGACAGGCTCTGCCTTTGAGCTTGTTTTCTCCATTAACTGCAGTTGTTTGGATATGAAATATAGATCAGAGCTCCTGCTCCTTCTCCAGTTCACTTCAACCAGCGCCGTGACAAGGAAAATTACTTAGATCTCCACTTACATGATTTTTAAAAGGCTGGAAAACGCTCAGGCTTTGGGCTGCGTCAGAAGCCAGCAGCACATGACACACATGCACCCTTACAGGTGACTGGGAATTTGGGGGGAAGTGACAGCTCCCTGCTGTTTTCCAGAAGAGGAGCCATGTCCCCATCAGGGTCTGGTTGGTGATGAGGAGGCTGAAACCCTGCCACGTGTCCCTGTGCTGTACCAGGTGCTGCCCACCTCATCGGGGGCAGGGAGGGGCTGGACAGTGACAGGAGTACCCGTGGATGTGCCGGGGTGGGGGGCAGTGGGTGCCCCCTCCAGTCCCCTCCTGCACTTCCCAGCTCTCTCTGGGTACCCAGACTGCCTAATTCCTCCTCCTCCTCTCCTCCTTCTCTGCTCAAAGGGAGACACATTCAGCTTCTATGGTGGGAAAATGCAGTCTGGGGCATTCACTCAGCTCGTGAATGCAGATTAACAATATGCAGGGGTTGGTTTCCAAAAGACATCTAATATCTCTTTTCAATTATTACACTTGCCATGGACAGGTAACACAGCTCCCAGGCACCAGTGCCCGGGGAAAAAACAGGGAAATAAGGTACTGTGTGTCCTGCTGGGGGAGATAAAATGAAAATGGAGAGACCCACTGAGGGGTGTTACAGCCCTGCTGTGTTCATCACTCGTGTGGTAACGAGCGTTGGTAATTACACACTTTGGTGGTTCCTCCTTGTACTGAGCTGTGCCCTCCACACTGGCACTGCAGCCCACGTGCTCCAGCCAGGAATCACAGCTCCAAGGTGTCCCCACCACCACCCCCTCACAGCCCTGCTCTCCCACATGCCTGAGGAAGCCACAGTGCCTGCCTGGTACAGAAACTGAGGGAATCCAAGCAGAAAATGCTGGAAAATGCTGCCTTGGCAGATGAGGGCAGGTGATGCTGGCTCCTCCCAAAGCCCACGCAGTGAGAGCCCCCGGGAGCACCAGCCCTTCAGGCAGAGCAACCCTGGGGCTGGGAGGGGAGTCTGGGGGAGGGAAAAGCCCCACACGCCCCCTGAGCAACCCTGCAAGGAGCAGGAGGACACACAGAAGGTGATGCTAAGCCAGTCCATGCTGAGCACCCCTACACTGTCCTGACTCCCCATGGACACCCCACACAGCACCAGCCACCCTCTCCAGCCCGAGAGGTGGAGCAGCTCCTTACACAGAGCCAGGCCAGGTGGGCCTGGAGCAGAAGGGAGCTGGTACGAGGGGCTGTCACGTCTCTCACCCCCACAGATGATCCAGGCTGCTTTCTGCCCATGGTATTTAAGAAACAATTACATCTTACCATCCATCCACTCCCGACTTCTGCAGCTCAGAGATCCCAAAGGACAAGGAGCCCATGAAATCATTCCTGCTGGTCAGATCCCAGTCCCAGATCTCCACAGACAACCGCCTGTCTTTGTCTGCCTCTTTCAGTTGGCTGGAAGAGAGGAAAAGGGACGGTTTTATCCTGGAAGATGTTGCCACACCACCCTGTCCCCCCATGCTCTGCAGGAATACGGATGCAAAGTGAAGGGATGCTCCTCGATGCCTGTTGAAGTCTCCAATATTTAATTGCCCAACCACATCTGACTCACACGGAGAGCACAGAGTTCGTGCCCAAACACTCAGCTTTGATCAGGGTCAGGGCAGAGGTTTGAGTGTTTCTGAGTCACTTACTGAATAAAAAGAATCATTTCTCAGTCGAATCAGTTCAATGCCTCTGAATAATTAAATAAGAGCAAATACAATCACATTAATTCTCGGGGGTGAGAAAATTCAGTTTACAAATTTAAACATTTTCCTTGTACTTACAATTTAAATGTCTCGTTCCACTCAGGATTCAGGGAGCACTTGATAGTTTTGGTCTTCTGTTTGCTTTCATTTTTGGGGTCAGGGATTAGTTTAAGCTTCACGTAGGGATCTGACAAGCCATTAGGGTCCATAGGAACTAGGTTTTTAGCATCTCTTACTGGGGAAGAGAAACAGGATTAAATTCAGTATTCCAACTATAAAAATACCCGACAACTGACAACTTCCCTGCGTGCCAAGAGTAAGTGTGAAAATAGTGATTAAAACCAGAATTAAACTGGATCTGTGCAGACATGGGCACTACATGAGGAACGACATAATTAACGCAGAGCAAACGCAGCTCTCGTGGACGGGGGAGGCTGAAGGGTCGACTCAGGAGACTATTTTTATTTTCTGATAGGATGGTTTTTTGTTTGCTCTCAGTTCTAAGCAATTTAAAGCCAGTTTGTTTCCTCTTGCCCCTTGGGAAGCAGCATTGCACTGATTTGGTGAGAGCACGGGGATGGAGCTTTCCTTGGAGAGAGGAAACAGCAACATTAATGCCCCGGGCAGGGGAGAGCAGGGACCCAAAGGCACCAAGCTCCCCACTGGGCCCTCCCAGGCTCAGCTGGGGCCCTGAGGGAGCAGGGGGATGCCCATGGGGCATCATCACCTGCCCACCTGGCAGCATCACCCCGGCTCTGGGAGCTGAAGTGTCTCCTCTGGGAAGCAGGAGGAGAGAGGGAAGAGCAAACCTGAGATGACTTGGTTGCTTGTAATTGGATTGCAGCTTGGATAAATTAAATACAGCCAGGCTGAGCTGAGGCTCTTTGCCCAGATTAAGTCAAAAAGGGTCTGTCTGCCAGGAGAAGGGTCTTATCTTCCCTCCAGCCCGAATGGAGACATCAGAGATGGAAAGCCCGATGGCCACGATGGAGCCGAGCTGTAACCTGCAGAAAAGCTGTTTCAAGGAAGCCCAGAGCAGAGCTCTCCCGTCCCCAGGTCCAGTGCACACCCCAGGGATCAGGCACGGAGGGTTGTGCCATGTTGGGAACAGGAACTCAGTGCTGCCTGAAATTCCACCAGATGCCACCAGCAGCTCTGCTGTGAAGGCACAGCTTCACCCTATAATCCCAAGGAGGAGGAGAGGACTCTGGCTCTGTGTGTAGCACCACAGGACATGAGAAGATACTTTTAGAGTCAGAAGAGTAAAAACAATTGCCCACTTCCCAATTCACCAGTAAGGCACTTCTGATGAGGTTGGGAACCAGAGAGTTTTGAAAAGCAAATTAATGCCCCAAAATCTGCCACCTAATGCTGTCCTGCCAAAGCATTGCCCAATTTTCAGATCCATGGAATCAAACTTGCAGCCAAAATGCAAATCTGCATTTATAAACGAGCTCATTTATCAAACGTGACAGCCCTGCCAGCAGCTCGTGAGACGGGGAGAGGCGTGAGCCTGCTGGGAACCACCGCCTGCCTCTGCAGGAGCCGGGCAGCCCCAGCCATCCTGCTGCTCTACGTGCTCCTCAGATGCCTGGGATGAGGCAGCTGCAGGAGCCAGAGTCACCTCTGCCCCTCTGGCAGAGGGGGAAGGAATGACTTCATCCCTGCCCGTGGTACACGGGGACCTCACCGGGGATGCTGTCATAGAATAACTGAATCCCAGAATAGCTGGGGTTGGGAAGGACTTTACAGCTCATCCAGTGCCACCCCCTGCCACGGGCAGGGACACCTTCCACCAGCCCAGGTTGCTCCAAGCCCCATCCAACCTGGCCTTGGACACTTCCAGGGATGGGGCAGCCACAGCTTCTCTGGGCAACCTGTGCCAGGGCCTCCCCACCCTCCCAGGGAAGAAATAACTTCCTAATTTCTACTCTAATCCTGCCCTCTGTCAGTTTAAAACCACCACCCCAGGGCTCCCTGCCTGCACCCCCCACACTGCCAAGGCACAGGGAACAATGCTCCCAGTGCCCTCCTGAACCAGGGCCTCGTCACACCCTCCCCCTGAGCTCTGACTGCTTTTTATTGCCTTCTTGGCCTTAAAATTATTACACAAATGTGTTTTCAGTGCCCCTGCCCACCTGCAGTGGGGGACAACCACTGCCAGTCACAGAAGCACTTACATTGGGATGCTGTGGCACCAGGCACCAAACAGTGCCCACCCTGACCCCAGCGCCCGGGGCAGGAGAGTGGGCACAGTCTTCGCTGGTGACCATCACCCCTCACCTGCCCTGGGGTCAGCAGAAACCACTGAGGACCCTTCAGACCTCCTGTGTGAGCAGCAGAACCAGCCCAGGGGCTGGAAGAAGCCGCTGGCTCTGGGGTCTCACACCAGCCAGTGTCTCCTCACTGACAGGAGATGCAAATTGATGTCACACGGAATCAACTCCGGCTCTGCTCCGTGTTTCACCATCCCAACAGCCAACACAACATACTCTGGAGACTAATGAACCACCCTCCATCGTTTATCAGGCCGTCCTTCGCTTCTTTAAGGAACAGGAGAAGTAATTCCTGACCTCACAGTTAATCAGTTTATGCCCTGAAGCATGAGATTTGATTACCTCATGTTATTATCTCAGCGTGCAGACCTCACAATTTCATTAATGGGAATAATTTTATCTATTCATTTAAAAAAACAAAATGCTTCTGCTTGACCTCAAGAAACTTTCTAACTTTTCAAGCAGAAATCAACAATTAAGTGAAGGGAAAATAAGAACGTGAAGCAGCACAGCAGTGATACCTCACAGCAGGAGAGTCGCGCTCCTTCCTCGCCAGTGTTTATGGAATTTATTTGACAGTTAAATTTGATGTAAAATAGTTTTACATCTGTCATACCCTGACAGTTTTGTGCATCATTAAGAAGTAGTAACATCATTATTAACGGTGATGAGTAAGAATATTACGATCCCATTGAAAGCAGGACTTAAATCACTGTGGGTACCAAATGCGGCCAAGGAGACACCACTGTGGCCTCAGGCCATGGGCAGGATGAGGCATCCTTAAGTCTTGGACATCCCTGGACCAGGAGGCTTGGGGGGGCAGGGGTGGCAGTGCCCACCTCCTCCACACCATTCCCATGGCAATGGGGACACCGCTCCACTGCCATGGGAAGGAGGTGTCACCTGCTCTGCCTTGCAGGGCCAGGGCAGGTAGAGCTGGGTGAATGATACCTGAATAATTTATTCTGCAAACAGCTTCCTAATAAATGATTCAGAAAAGAACTTCTAACTACTCAGGCAGCTGTAACTGCAGGAACAGGCTTGGGAAGAGACACCCCCATTTCCGATGGCAAACGTGGGGAGAAGCCTCACTCTGTCACATGTGCAAAGCAGGAGGGAGCACGGCCTCCCCAGGCACTGCAGGCACTACAGAGGGCATGTCCAGAAGCTCACTGTGGACACGGGAGCAGGGCAAGGCCCTTCCTCCTACTCCCAGGTTTCCAAGGGAGGGCAAGAGTAATATGGTGGGTAAACAAGGACCAGAAAGTTCTTTGCTAAATATGCCACGTGGGGTTCACTTTTACACTAAATAAAAAAAGCTTATGATAAACCAACTCCTACCCCACTCTCCAGACAGCTCCCATGGGCTGTCACATCCTTTCTCTTCCTCTCTGAGCATGCAGGGCCATGGAACATGTTCAGTGCAGGGAATTCTGCTTCTTGCTGCCCTCCAAAGGGAAAGGCCCTGGTACAGGTTGCCCAGAGGAGCTGTGGCTGCCCCATCCCTGGAAGTGTCCAAGGCCAGGTTGGACGGGACTTGGAGCAACCTGGGCTAGTGGAAGGTGTCCCTGCCCATGGCAGGGGGTGGGATGGGATGGTCTTTAAACCAAACCATTCCAGGATTCTGTGGTTCTATGAAAAACCCTTCCAAAGCCTGGCTCACTGCAAGGAGAGGTCAGAGCTCTGCCACCTCATGTCAGCCCATCACTTCTCCATGGCCGTGCCAGCAGCACCCCCAATTCCACAGCTCTTGGATGGGATTTTGGAGAGGGGAAGGCTCTTGGGCTGGCCTGCAGCACTCATCTTCCTCCCTCCAGCAGCACACACCATCCCCAGCCAGGAGCAGCCCCATCCCATTCAGTGCCCGGCGCTCAGATGAACACCCTCACAAGTTAAAACATTTAATTAATGCTCTGATAAGAATATATTTGCACATGCTCATACAATGAAAAAGGCACAGGACTCATTACAGCTGCATCTGCCTGGGCCGGTGATTATTAATTAACACACTTCCAGCTCGTTTATCTAATCACAGCATAATTGGTTTCAGTTTTGGTCAATGTTTTCCTTCAATCAGCTCAGTAAACAGTGAAGCTCTGTCCCAGCAGCCTCTGCCACGCTGCAGAAGCATGGGGGGGGGGGGCCACGGGTGCTAACGAGGGGCTCGGCTTCACAGGAGCCACTGGGGGCCAGGGCACGGTACCAAGGCTCACAGGAGAGAAGAGGGAACCCAACATGGTCCCCATGCTCAGCAGCCCTGGCACGAGGACAGGGTGCACTCTCCTTCACACGCACAGGGTCAAAGGGCCCCGGACACGCTGAAGAGTCTCCATCGCCCAAACACACCCCGACCTCACAGCATAAACCCACCACAGCTTTTCTGCCTCCTAATCCCTGCTAGACTCTCTACCTTTTAGGTCTCTTTTTTACACCAGCACTTCCCCGAGAGCAGACATGAACACGTGCTGAGCTGTGCACCCGGCGGGACACACCTCCCACCTGCCTGCGGTGGCAGAGCCAGCTCCTGGCTGCTGGAGAGGAGCCACGCACAGAGTCCTCAAAGCAACTTCCATCTTGGAGCAGCAACAGCTTTAATGGATTCCCAGCCCAGCCTTCACATTCTCCCACTCCTCCATTTCCCAGACTCAAATATTCATGTCCCTTAATACGACAGGCTCAGAATAATCTGCATTTGGAAGCTTTTCTGTTACGGAAGCCAAAATGCACAACGCCTCGATGACACTTCAATTTGCTGTGATTTCCCACTTTATTCCTTAGTCTTTTCCCACTAATAAGACACTTGATCAAAGCCCAGAGCAGAACATGGACTGTGAACATGCATTTGCTCCTGCCCCATTTCACATCTCCCTCCCACACTGGGGGTTCAGAGACACACAGCCCACATTCTAAATATTAGGAAGAAATTCTTCCCTGTGAGGGTTGGGAGGCCCTGGCACAGGTTGCCCAGAGAAGCTATAAATGCCCCATCCCTGGAAGTGTCCAAGGCCAGGTTGGAGCAACCTGGGCTAGTGGAAGGTGTCCCTGCCCATGACGGGGGGGGTGGAACAAGATGAGCTTTAGAGTCCCTTCCAACCCAAATCATTCTAGGATTCAATAATTCTATGAAAATCTGTGTCTTCCACTGGGAGGGAAAGATTAGCTCTACAAATAAAAGGAAAAAATTAGAGTAAGAGAAAAGAAACCCACAGAGCTGAACAGCATCCTGCAAATTCCTGTTAAATTTGTCAAGTGACAAAGAAATCGAAGCCCCAAGTGGGTCCGTGTTGGCCGTGCCCGTGCTGCCACCTGCAGGCACCGGCCCTGCCCTGCCAGCTCCTGCCAGGGGCACCCGGGCACCCTTCACACTTCATAGCTGGGATCCTCTTTGCCATGGGAAAGCTTCCAAAATTCCCGGGCAAGGGTCTCCCCCCCCTGGAGGCACAGAGAGAAGGTCTCACCCCACTGCCAGTACCTGTTTTTCCCTGTGCAGCAGGACCAAAGCAGGGCTCAGTCTCCCACCCCTGCCAGGCTCCAGGGGCTCCAGCACCCCCCTGCCACCCACCACTGTGCTGTCACTGCTGTTCTCGACAGAAATCCACCCCCTGCCCGCCCCAAACCGAAATTCCTGCAGAAAATGTGTAAAGGGCATTTTCCACCAGAAATCTGCTCAGAGGAATCCTGGCTGCTGCCTCCACCCACTGCCTCCCTGGGCTGGGCTGGGGCCCCAGTGAGGACACTCTCCAATTGTACACCCTGTGCCCCCCTGGGATGGCCAAGGCAGGTCCTGCAGGAACTGTGTGGGTTGGAAAATCCCTCCAAGATCATTGAATCCAACTGTTCCCCCTGCTAAGGCCACCACTGAGCCATGTCCCCAAGTGCCAGACCTACACAGCTTTTAAACCCCTCCAGGGATGGGGACTCTGCCACTGTCCTGGGCAGCTGTGCCAGGGCTGGACAGCCCTTTCCATGAAGGAATTTTTCCAATATCCAACCTAAACCTTCCCTAGTACATCTTGAGGCCGTTCCCTCTCCTCCTGTCCCTTGTTCCCTGGGAGCAGAGCCCAAATCCCCCTGGCTCTCCTCTCCTGTCAGGGACTTGCAGAGCCAGAAGGTCCCCCCTGAGCCTCCTTTTCTCCAGGCTGAGCCCCCCCAGCTCCCTCAGCCACTCCTGCTGCTCCAGCCCCTTCCCCAGCTCCCTTCCCTTCCCTGGACATGCTCCAGCCCCTCAATGTCCTTCTTGTTGTGACGGGCCCAAAACTGACCCCAGGATTTGGGGTGGCCTCCCCAGTGCCCAGCACAACATGAGGTGGCTCCATCTCCCAAGGGCTGGGTGCCCACCCATGCTTTGGGGGGCTGGCCGGGCTCCCCAGTGTCCAGCCTCTCCTCTCCCAAAGCATCCCACTCCTCCAGCAGCTCCACAGCAGAGCTGGAGAACTCACCACGCTTCCCTGCCTTCTGGAAAAGCCAACAGCTGACATGTTTTCACCAACACCTCCATAAAGGGCCAGAAATAAAACAGCCTTTCAAAGCCAGTGGAAAAAATGAAAATCCAGCTGCACAGAATGGGGCCAAGGGAGCTCCTCCCCTGCCTCCGGAGAGGTGGGAACACAGTGCCAGGGAACTCATGGTGCCAGTGGGAGGGTGAGCTCTGTACCCCACTGGCATCTGATGGAGGCTGGGTACCAGTCCCATCTCACTCCCAGAGGGAATCATAGAATCGTTAAGGTTGGAAAAGACCTCCAAGATCACCAAGTCCAACCTTCAGGAAGGTGCCTGGGAAGCAAGACTTCTGAGAAACATAGTTCTGTCTGGTTAACTGACGCTCTCCTTTAAGGACAAATCAAACAAAAAATAAATTAAAAAATCCTCCACAACTTTTTTCAATTTTTCATTAACATCTTCAGCAACTTGGTACTTTTCTTGAGAATACTCCCGATGGCTCTGTAGGCCAGAAGGATCCTGGCTCTCCTGCACACTCCTGGCTCATACCTGAGTACCTCTTTCCATGTGGGTGAGGTGACCTGTGCTGCCCCCTGCCCAGGCTGGGGCACCTCCTGAGGCTGTGCCCACCATGGACCAACGCTGCCCTCGGCCTCCCATCCCCCGGGGGGGCTGGCTGGGTTCACCCTCCCTGGAGCAGAGCAGGGCTGGAGCCCTGCTGGGTCACGGCAGCCGCCCCTGTGGGATGTGCTCAGCCGAGCCAGGAGCCGGCCAGGAGCAGCAGGACCTTGGCAGCCTCTGCTCTCCTCAGGGAACAGGTGCCCATCAGAGTGACGAGGAGCACCACGGGATGCACGGAGACAACCCCACCCCACAGAAACCAACCCTGGGGCTGTCATGGCATCTCCCGCTGCGACAGGACGTGGAAACCAGACTTCTCCACGGAGCTGTGGGATGGTGGAGAAGGATCTGGTGTTGCCATGGATGTCCCACCCGGTGCCCCCTCAGGGGCACTGCAGGGGGCACTTCACAGCCCACGGCTTTAACTCATCCGGGAATAACTGCGACAGCTCGGCCGCCCCTGCGGAGACCGCGGCACCCGGAGCTGCCTGGGCACCAGCGTGGGCAGGACCTCCCTCCCACACAGCACAAGCAGACAAGCCCCGGAGGGACTGACAGTGCCGTGCCCACAGGGAGCAATCCCTGCCTCCAGCCCCCGCTCCACGAGACACCCGTGACCAGCACCCAACAGAGCCACAGCTCTGCTCTGATCTCCTTGTGCTGGGGACAAGAGGCTTCACAAGGACATGGCTTAATGTTTGGGGGGATGCTCAAAGGTCATGGGGGAAGCAATATCTTTTGGGAACTCAAAATCTGGGTGGCAAAAGTCCTTAAAGATGGGATATTCCTGTTTCCTGCCACAAACCAGGAACAGAGAAGTTTCAGGACAGAGAAAACTGGCACTGGGAACAAGGTGTTTCCCCATGGATGGCCACCGGGTCCCTGGGACACTCCAGGCAGGGAAGGAGCCTCTGCTGAGCCCGGCACTGCCTGGCTCCCTGCAGGCTCCTCCAGCCCCATCTCCCACCACTGGGCACATCCCTGCAGGTGGATGCTGTGGGATGGCTCCTGCCCATCACGGCTGGTTGGATCCTCTTTGCTCCCCCTTCCCGGGGTCCTGCGAACGCTGAAATTTTACAGCATTTAAAAAGCAGTTCGAAAAATCTGTACCTGCCGTTGATACAGAACCCCTGGAGCCACAGCCAGGCTTTGCCAGAGGGCAGGAGGGTGCCCAGAGAGGCTCAAAGCCTTGTCCTGCCTTGCCAGGCATCTGCTCCTGGGTGCTGACGCCGGGCACGGCGCTGCCCGGCCCTGCAGGGCCATCAGGCTGTGGGTGTGCTGTCACACACTGTCCCACAGTCACACACTGTCCCACAGTCACACACTGTCACACACTGTCAGTCACACACGTACCTACGACGGTGAGCACATCCTTGTCGATGTCTGCCCGGATGTATATCCGCCCCCGGCGCTCCGTGTGGTCCGTCCCGCACAGGCTGGGCACGTTCATCACGCAGCGCTTGTGCACGTTCATCATGCAGGCTGGGGACAGAGGGGACACACGTTCATCATGCAGGCTGGGGACAGAGGGCACACACGTTCATCATGCAGGCTGGGGACAGAGGGGACACACGTTCATCATGCAGGCTGGGGACAGAGGGCACACTCAGCACCCGC